GGGGGGGGGGGGGGGGTGTACACAAATGAGTGTTTTAACAACTGGATGTTATGGACAAATGTGTTATTTTTCTCTTCCCTCAAACGCACAAAGAAATCTCATTTGATATTTAAACTTTGCTAAATGTTTTATTCTGATTATTTCCTAAAATACAAACAACAAAATCTACTGAAAATTATCTCAGGACTTGGTGCTGAGATACACAATACCATTCAAAAATATGGCAGTGCAACTAAACAATTCACCTGTACATAATCGTACATCTCCAAGTTTAAACATTTTTATTTTACAGAAAATGGTAAATAATAATAATATAACTTTAGGAAGACTTAAATTTACTTTGACTTTTATGTGCTGTGTAATTGATGTGTAAATTAATTAAATTAATACGCATATATACATATAGTATATCACAGTCACATGCGTATTTAAAACAATTTAGATTTCAAGGAACATTCAAAATATTTGGTATAAATTACTTTTTCTTTTTTTTTTTCCTCCTCGCTCTCGGCGGAGGCGGACATTTTTCCCTCCTGCTCCTTCCCTGCTCTGCTCTTAGTCCTGTGAACCTTTTATGTTGCTTTTTTGTGCTGTTGTTTTTTTGCAGCCTCACGCTGTGTTCGGGACACAGAGATACGATTTTCTTTACCTCCTCTTCCCTCGTGTTCCTCTTTTTCTAATCTAATGTAAAAGGAAGCGCCTCTCAGTGAGGCTGCAGCCTCAGACATCCTGTCTACTCTGTCTGTTGGTTGTTTGATTCTTCGGATGGGCTGTACCTAAATATAATTTTATTGTGCTTCTCTTCAATGACAATAAAGCTGATTCTCATTCTGATTAACAGTGCAAAATAAGATGCATTTCCATGCACATACCTGACAGAATCTGTGGGTAAAGACTTGTTGCTAACTCACGATGTCTTATGCTCTTGCCCAAATGAGTAAAACTTTTCAAATGAACAGCTCGTATGTAAAATGTTGTGTGGACAGAGGATGCTCTCTAGGAATCAACTAATAACTGTAATTAAACAGTTTTTCCTCTTGTTTTGTTGCATTTTCAGGCACTGGTGAAAGTGGAAAGAGCACATTCATCAAACAGATGAGGATTATCCACGGTGCGGGCTACTCCGACGAGGACAAGAGGGGTTTCATCAAATTGGTTTACCAGAACATCTTCACATCCATGCAGGCCATGATCCGGGCCATGGAGACACTCAAGATCCCCTACAAATACGAGCACAACAAGGTATTTGACATCCTGCTCTTTGAGACCTTTAAATTGATCGAAGGAAGTGACAGTGGAAGTTGAGGGTGACGGATAGTTTGAAAGTGACACCAAAGCGTGCACGCACATTTTTAGATTGCTGTATCTTATTAGGAACAGCCATCCATAACAATTTCCTGCTGGTTTTTACTCTTCCTGTGTCCTGGAAGCACTCTTGACGTTCCATTACACCATTTATATATCTGCGTTTGTGTGCACGTTCTGTGTGCGTACTGTATTTTACACATATAAGCACATGAGATTATAGAGAAGAGGGAGCAACCTTCGCCGCACTACTCACCTAAATTTGCCCTCACGTTTTGTAACCATTGCCTCAGCTGCTCTGTTTTAATCGCCCTTCTCTTTGGAACGAGTTGCCCCTTGTGGTCGCAGCTTTGGGAACTGCAGCAGCGACCTCTTGGAGTTTATTCCCTACGAGAGTGACAAATGAAAGGAAATGGAGCGTAGGAGTTGTCACCTAGGCAACACTTTTTATTAATCATACCATTCCAGGTGTCGGTGAACCACGTGGTGTAGTTTCTTCACGCCGGGCTGCAGTTTCTCAACTGTTGTTGGAGAAAGATCTTTGGAGATTTGATAAAATAAAAATATCCTAAATTTAAAATCATAATCCCAAGAAGTTAAAATCTGTTCAGTATTTGAATTATTTTCAAGAAAAATAGGGGATCTTCATTAAACTTTCACGTCCTGCTGCTTACACACATTTTCAAACTTTCTATGCAGCCTGGCAGACCTTCACCTACAACTATTTTTGTACTGGTTTTGCATTTTAAAGTAATCGTTCGGATCTTTTAAAGTGGAGTTCTGTGGAAAGGTCGTGAATAATTAATATCTGTAGGGAATAACTTTTTGAGCAACCTCGGTTTGAAAAAATACTGTACATCCTTTATGCTGCTGGCAGTTTTGCACTACAGTTTGGCAGAAATATTATTATAATATATTACAATACTCAGCTTGAAGTGCTATAGCTCGCTGCTGCTACCATTATTTGTGCTTCAGTTAACCTTTGAATTTATATAAATAACTGAAATAATGACAAAGTATTTATTTTTATTGGCTTCCGGATGAACTACAGTAAGATTTTTGGAGTTGTTTTTAACAACTATCCACTTTAGTTTTGGACCTCTTCCGTTCTGTCTAAATTTAACAATATTTCTTCAGACTGGGGTCTTTAAAAAGCTACCTACAGGTAAGAGATGCATTTTTTTATTGCTTAAATATGACCCATATTGTATTTTTTGTGACAGCCTGAACGTGACTGTTTTTCAAAGCGACCTCAGTCTGAACAGACTTTTTTCTTTTAATTTGTCATTTCCTTAATGACTAAGAATCTACAGCAACAAATGATGCTAATGTTAGCATCATATTGATACTTTGTGTCCAAAAACACAAAGAAAGTATAGAACAGTTTGGAATTCAAAATGTCTTTTACATTAGGGATAGGGTTTATAATCAGGTTTTAGACATTGCATTGTGGACATGGATGATTTTTTATTAACGTTAATCTGTGATGTCACTTTACGAGTCAGCAGAGTAGCAGCAGTTTGACCCAGTAGAGTTACTGTAGCTTCCTGACCTGTAGTTAAAACATGTTGCAGTAAATCTGTGTATTATCACATCTTTTTTTGCTGAATATGATGAATATAAAAGCTGCAAATAACAGTCATCATACCACAACTGTCTTTAGAAATGTTTTTCAAAAAATTAGCTTTTGTATGATAACTAGAAGGTTCAGTCTAAGTCTACCAATATTTTATAGTCTTTGTGAGGATCGAGACATTCAGTACTTTGTGCCGAGGTTGAATTGTATTTACTTAAGATAAATTGAAATACATTAAGTGCACAATAAAATCTAGAGGACAAGTAAACATCTGCATAATTGACATCTAACACCATGAATTTTTTCCTCAAATAAAACATAATTATCCACACTGAAGTGTTTTGACCTAAATTCAAACAAGCAGTGTCCAATCGAAGCATTAAAAAAACCCTTTCTCAGTGGCTGTCATGATCTGAGCATGTGCTCTCATTTAACCTCGAACATTCATAACATTAAAATGGGAAGTGTTTGTCTTTTAACAAAGGCGCTCCCCTACATTACAGAGGAAGTGAAAATGAAAGCTCCCAGTCATTTACAGTAAATGTCTTATCACAGGCTTGTAGCTCCTCGCCTGTTAAAAAAGCACTCGTGATCATGATCACCACTCATTTGAACACATTATGCTGACTCAGCTGCTTCACTTGCTGCTAAACTAAAACCCTGGATGCTCAGCTACAGTAAAATAAATCTGTTTTTTCTTTATTACATTTAGATTGTCTGGATTTTGTTGTGCTGGTTCCATATTCATTTTTGTACAACAAATGCTTAAGTGCTTCACATTACAAACGGCTAGTATCCTGTTCTTAATGAAGTGGTGGCAAGAAGTGGTTTGTTATAACCTTACAGATGGCTGTCACATTAAATAATCACCATTAAGTCTTTATGTTTTGCCAATTGCCACAGGTTTCTTATAATGATTTTGCTTCTGTGCCCATAGGCATATTTATTGCCTGCAGCAAAGCTGAAAATGTTTGTCTATTGTTTAGCAAAATATCACATGAACAACTGACAATTTTACATAAAATTTTCAAAAGTAATCATCAAGTGTACATCTACAACTGTTAGACTTTTGCAGTCAATATGATTCAAAATGGCTGCCACAGATAGTTGACCTTTAAAGAACACAGAGATTGCAACAACTCAAACATATTTTACAGACAATGAGCAACATTTGATGTGGTCATAGCTGAGAGTTATTCACAACACATTAATTGCATTTTGACCTAAAAAATCCGACCCGGTCCGAACCCGTATCATTTTTTCCGAGCCCGACACAAAACCGACCAATTAACTGAGATTACAAACCCGAACCCAGAAAAAAAAGTTTGTTTTTTTTTATTATTTTTTTTATTAAACTTTTACCGCTTTTGTAAGCAAATCAGTTTGACATGATTTAAAAACATATTTCAAAGAAAGGAAGATATAAGTTGTTTATTAACAAGAGTCAGCGGATTATTGTACGGTAGTTATTATAACATTATAGTTATTGTAGTTATTAACGGTCAGCGGACGCACGCAGCTGATGATCCACATTGAGTTGTCGGCCACGCGTGTCTGCTGACGCAGTGGCTGAGTCCAGTTAAGCTTCAGATGGGTCGCTGGCAGTCATCCATCTAGACTTTTCTCTTTTACCATTGTTTTTGGTCAGCGTGCGCGGCTGGTGATCCAAATTGGATCGTCAGCCGCACACATCCGCTGACGCAATCAAAAGCCCGACACGACCCGGCCCACCCATCAAGCACATTATTTGGGCTGGACCCTGGGCCCCGGTTAGAATGACAGCTCTTCAACACATACATCGACAGATCTTACAGTACTGCACGACATTGTGCAAAATATAATTTAAACGGTTTGACAATAATGATTCCCTCCTTTAACATAAAATGATTTTAGTCTAAATCTCTGGCCTGAAGAGCGGCAGGCGATATTTTTTTCATTCAACCTTTATTTAAACAGGTTAATCCCATTGAGCCTCGAGGACTCCTTTACAAGAGAGATATGAATTCCTTCAAGGAATGCTAGGCTTTTATTTTATGTTGAATTATGATTAGATGTAAAATTCATATTTGACAGAAGTTGACATTTGTTAGTCATACATGCTGCATGTGAAACGGCTTCAGCGTTCAGGCACATGTTGATCTGTATGTGACACACGAGGCTCTAAAAAGGCCAAACTTTCCCCTTCAGATCCTTGAAACCTCTGGTGGATTTGGACTTCAGATTTTAGCTGCATACTGAGACTTGGACTGAAAAGAAAGTTCAGGTTATAAAATAACGAGCTAATGTCATAATTAGGTCAACACTGTTTTTGTGCTGATTTTATTTTTTGATTGTTTTTGAAGGTTTTTAGTTTTGTTCATTTTCTGTTGGGGAGATAAATGCAGGTCTTGAGCTGAACATTAAGTTGGTTCCTGTTGTGTCTTTTTCCATCAGGGGAACGCCAACATTGTTCGAGAGGTGGACATAGAAAAGATCGGCATGTTTGAGAATCCTTACGTAGATGCAATCAAGAGCTTGTGGAATGACCCGGGCATCCAGGAGTGCTACGATCGAAGGCGGGAGTACCAGCTCTCAGACTCTACGAAATAGTGAGAATGAAAGAAAATAACGCCTCAAACACAATAATCAGATATTTAATTAAGACGACTGATGTTGGATTGCTTTTGTTCCCTGCCTCTTTAGTTACCTGAACGCACTGGACCGGATCGCTGAGCCGTTCTATCTTCCTACGCAGCAGGATGTGTTGAGGGTTCGAGTCCCGACCACGGGCATTATTGAATATCCATTTGATCTGCAGAGCGTCATATTCAGGTGAGATCAGACCTTTACTGAGAAACAAATGGTAAAATGCTCTTTTTGTCAAACATTTCCAGTTTTTCACTACTTTGTGAAGTTCTCTGCCCACCCTCTGAAGTTCAGCAAATACTTTTAGCCTCACTTTATATAATTACAGATCTGTTAAACTCAACTTGATACTTTTTAATCCCCTTAATGATGCTGTGCATGCTCATTACATTTAAATCTGTCTGAGCCTATCGTATCTCTAATGTACTGAAGTTTAGACTCAAGTGGTCCAAATCAGACTGAAGGGTCCAGCATACTCCATCCAACGCCATCAGTCGACTTGAAGTCACATGGTTGCAGGACGTTCATTTTTTCTCACACCTTTCATAGTTCACAAAACACAGACTCCTGTAAAACCCTCCCGCTGCAGTATACGTCACCGCGTGGGTTTCTTCCCACCAGCGTCCCAACGCTGTCCCCACATCTGCCGTTTGGCCACAAATCTGTCCTGAAGAAAGCGCCGCACTTTTCAGCAGACGACTCCTCCGTACACAATGTCTGCACAATCTCCATCCAGGAGTTATTTGGCCATTTGACTAATTTAGTGTGTTTGAAAAGTCATGCAGCTGAATGTCCCAGCACATTTCCTCATTGACAAACACGCCCACAAACTTCTGACCAATCACAATACTTGGTGCACACGCCTGTGAGAACAAGTTCGAGCCGGGCCTGGTGTTGAGAAAGAGGCAGGCAAAGCTACTCTGAGAATAAAATTATGTGATTTTTGTTACACAACTACGTCATCTAGAGCTTATTTTGCTGCTTCGGATGGAGTATGCAGACCCCTTAAGAGCTCACAGTGACTGGATTCTGTTGGCAGGATGGTGGACGTTGGAGGTCAGAGGTCAGAGAGGAGGAAGTGGATTCACTGCTTTGAGAACGTCACGTCCATCATGTTCCTGGTGGCGCTCAGCGAATATGACCAAGTTTTGGTGGAATCGGATAACGAGGTGATTTGCTTTTGTTAAACTCAACATGATTGTTTCAGTTTTGACATTTTTAAGAGGTTTATCTGCTGGTGTTTCATGTGAGGCAGAAGACTCTGGAGATTAAAACCGTTTCTTTATTTAAAACAATGGACGTTAGATTCTTATTCCTCTTGGATGTGCACCACCTCTTTTCCCACCAGAAAGCATTTGTAAATAACCAACCAGCTGTTCTGAATGCTGCTTCAGGCCACATCTGCTCCTTAAACAGATCCAGCATCTGTGTCAGTTTGATGTGAACGTGTTGATGAGCAGATGTCCTTCCATGTGCATGTTGTGGTTTCATCCCCATGTTTGTTGTTTTATTGCTGCACACGCTAAGAAAACTGACCAGCTGTTTGTCCTCTGATTTTGAAAGCTTTAATACATTTATTCAGAGCCATGCAGTTTAGTTGCATCTAAGGCTTCAGAATGGGTTTTTTGTTCAGTTAAACTCTTGAATGGAGTGCATGGGAGATATTGATGACACGGCTGTCCTTCTCCTTCCATCTCCACTGCTCTTCCTCTGGTGTGGTGAAACGTTTATTAAAATCTTCCCTTAATGACTTTTAAACACTGTGATGTAATTAAGTCAGTAGCCGTCTCTGTCATTCTGTCTTTCTTGTCACCTCTTGATTAAACCGCACGCACACATTCCCATCCTCTGCGCAGAACCGGATGGAGGAGAGTAAAGCCTTGTTCAGGACGATAATCACGTACCCCTGGTTCCAAAACTCTTCGGTCATTCTGTTCCTCAACAAGAAGGACCTGCTGGAGGAGAAGATCATGTACTCGCATCTGGTGGACTACTTCCCAGAGTATGATGGTGAGCAGAACCACTTTTTTAATATTCATATTTTCACCTCCTGGCCACCCACCTGGACAGATTTTGACATGTAGTTGCAACTAGAGAAATTGCATTTTCTGCGAAAGTGCAGTATGAATGCTTATTGCTGAAGAACTTGTTACAAAACAGCTGAAATGGAAGAACAAGCCTAAGTTAGCAGAAGAAAGCAGAACACATATTTGGTGCATTAGGTTTAAATAAGCAGAAATAAGCACAAACGTTAGGAAATTAGCAAAAGCTGAAAAGTAGCTGAAAAAGCAGAAAGAAGCTTAAACTACGAGAAGTAGAAGAAGCTGAACTGAACTGAAAAATGTGGAATTAGCTGAAAAAGCTAAATTTAGGACAAAACGGCTAAATAGTAGCTGAAATAGCTGAAACGCATAAACAAGCTGAAAGGAGCATAACATGCTGAAATGATCAGAAACAAGTTAAAGAAGCACAAAAATCTTCTAGTTAGCAGAAGGAATATGAAAGGAAGCTGAAACAGCTGAAATTAGCTGGAAAGAAGTTTTAATTTGCACAAGGAAGCTGAACCAGAACAAAATGTGAAAGCAGCAGTAAAAGGTTGTAAACGCATCTAAAGATTTGAAGGATGTAAAATGAGCTCAATTCATTTCCTATGAGGAAAAAAGTGGCAGAAAAGGCTAAATATTTCAAAAAGCTCAAGTTGCACTAATACCAAAGTCATAGCAGGATTGTCCTGAACGAGCTGAACGTTCAGATTTATTGTATGATTTGCTGAAATAGCACAAAAAATGTGGAATGAAAAATATGCTGAAAAATGTACAGAAGAAAAATGAATCACAGTAGTGTGAACGCTTCATAAACATTCACACAATTAATGTAATTTTTCTGTTGAGATGTTGATTCATTTGGTGCAACATGCTAAACTGTCAAACAACTAATAAAGGTGAACTTCTACTGATTGAGGTTTTAAGAAGTTATTTATGTATAATAAGTGAATGAAGTTTGAGTAATGCCAAGTAGTCATTCATTACCGCAGCAGATCTCAGTTATAACATCAGGGAGAAGATGGAGCACAAACTGACATTGAGTTGTCATTTACAACTCACTGCTTTGTTGTTGCCTTTTTATTCCAAACTGGTCTATAATTCAAATTGAAAAACACGATGCTCTCGTCAAGAAACTGTGAAATATGTGATGTAAATAATCATTCACTCTAAGAATTTATTTTTGTGAAGTCACACATGTATAACTCTTGTCTTGAACTGCACAAACTGTGTTCACCCCCTGCTGGCCATCAGATAGAATGCAGGCTGAAGGCGCTCATTTAAAAAAGTTAAACTCTACATCCATCCTAAAGGTTGCATTAAATCAAATATTTGACATAATTAACTCTTTTTTTATTTTTTTTTATTTTTTTTTCTGCCTTGGTTTTGGTTTTATAATGATAAAAACTTTTTCAGGATGTCAGTCAATTTGGCAGGTTTGATGGGGAGGAAAAAGTGAGATTCATAGTAACAGTTCCAGGAAGTATACAAGTACAGTCACTAAAAAGGTGTGTCCATTGATCCTAAATGTGTGAGGCGTAAGGCACGAGGTGAAACAGGATTCACCCCAACTTGTGTTATTGTAGCTATTTATGGCAGCTGATTGTTTTTGTACTGCTAGTGCTTAGCATATTTTTTAGTTTAGCATATTTCTTAGTTCATATCTTAGATCTTATTACTGTTTTTCTTTACAATTTATACTTTTGTTGGATGTAACTGGGACCCTGTGTACACAATTTTGTTCCATCACATGTACCACATGTGGTGCGAATGACAAATAAAGAAACTTTGACTTTGATCACATTGTTAGTGATTAATTGTAATGTTTTTCTCTGTCAGGTTCACAAAGGGACGCCCAAGCAGCTCGTGAGTTTATCCTCAAGATGTTCGTGGATCTGAATCCTGACAGTGACAAGATCATCTACTCCCACTTCACCTGTGCCACCGACACGGAGAACATCCGCTTCGTCTTTGCCGCCGTCAAAGACACCATCCTGCAGCTCAACCTGAAGGAGTATAACCTGGTGTAGAGCATGGCAGGGCTTCAACCCCCCCCGACTGATTCAATCTGTGAAACCTTTGATTATATACACGCATAGAGAATTATCTGAGGAAAAACATAATCTAATGGTTGCCTAATACAAATTTCTTTGCCATTTTTTTGACCTCTTGGTCCCCAAGGGGGCGAGCGCTTGCTATTTATTGGGTTGATAGGAAAAGATGGGAGGGGGGGCAGGGTATTTTCAGCAATTAGGAACGGAGCTGAAAGGAGTGCGACATGCTCCGTTCCTTCTGCCTTTTTATAAACCAGGAGGGAAGGTGTTCCTTTTTTAACCCTCCCCCCTCCTCCTCACCTGTCTTCTCTCTGGAGGTCCATGAACAGAAAAGTCTTATTTGACAGTTTCCTTGATCTCGTTAAGTCTCTTCTGTAGACATAAACTGTCATTTTTAAATTATTGGAGATTGATTTGGTATTAACATAAATCATTATTATTGCATTGGTACCATTCAGTGAGTAGAGACTGTGGATGCACATTCCCTGTGTGTTTGGGTTGATGTGTTTTTACCAGACACGAGGCTTGTGATGTTTCCCCACCTCCAACTCGACCACACGGTTCAGGGCGGTGAGAGGAGCTGGCTTTGAAAACGTCACGTCCACGAGGAATCTCTGCGGCGGCCACTTTCCACAGGCCGCCGGGAGTGGAGGAGGCCGTCGTTTCTGGGACAACATGAATAAATGTCTGTGTTCAACACAACAACGCTTTTTATTGCCACAACGTGTGTTTTACTGCCGATGCCAAAACACGTCGAGCACCAGACTCCACTTGGCGCTGGGAGCTGCTTCCGTGAGGTGGAAAGTGAGGAAAGATGGAGGCCGTTAGCACAGAAGGAACAGACTGATCGACTTAACTGACTGACGTGATGATCAGCCAACTGATTCCTGCAAGTTTTAAAGTATTCCCCCCCCCCCCCCCCCACCCACACACACACTTTGTTTGAGACGAAGCAGCCTCTCAGCACACCGACATTCTTCAGCTGTCCGATCACAACGTTGTGCACGGCTAAACAGAAACTCGTTCCTCCACCTCGGGCCTGCTGACCGTCACATCAGCTGTACTTTTGTAAGTGTCCAATTACAGCCCGGCTGTCCTGACTGTTGTAGCTGAATAGCGGTGGAGAATAAATTTGGCTAGTTGCTACGTAAAAGAGCCGAGCATGGATGTGCAGTTTGTACCAAAGTAAGCCCTTGTTTTTTAATTTGCCCCTCTTCATCATGCAGTTCATAAATTTACTTTAAGTACTTTGTTTGTAACCGTCCCCAAAACATAAGCCTGTAATTTACATTTATTGAGGCATAGTGCAATTATGAATGCTATAATCAGTGTACATACATCTCTATATATATGGCAGCATCTTTGTTGGCTTTGTAATCATTACTTTTCTGGCGATTGAATGTGCGGTATTGAAAATATGTATCTATGTAATTGTATTCTGTGTCTACTGGCTAATTTGTTTTTTGGAAAAGTTTTTTTTTTTTTTACATGTTTTTTGTGTTTTTGTTTTTAAGAGGAGAATGTAAATTTTTTGCCATTTTTCTTGCTCGGGAAAAGAAAGATTGTTCAGCTTCAGAACTGAATCAAGAGGAACATTAGTATTCGTCATCAGAGCTATAAAAAGCCAGTTCTAGCGTTTAGGTTTTTTTCTTCATTTGTTTCGTGTTGGAAAGTGTAGACTGAATTTTTATCTACAGGGCTAATCGTAACAAGTTGTTAGTGATCAGGCTTCAGGAACAGAGCACTTTGGTATTAATGACATTACTCAGTGATTCTTTTTTTTAAATTTAATTTCACTACAGAGCTTCTAAATTGTTGATAAAGTCCCGACTCTCCTGCCATGCCTCGTGGTCCTGAACACTTCCTACTGTTGGAGGCTTAATTTGTATCACGAGTATTGAACCAAACGGAGTGGCATTGAGGTGAAAGTGTTGAATTCAAACTAGATTCTTCTTATTGTTGATGTGAAGAGACAAAGTCATCTAGTCGTGACTAGTGTTCACAAATAAATTAATCCCAGTTGCTTTCATTAGGATGAATCATTTCTCGGTGCTTATGTGTCTTTTTTTTTTTTTATGTCCCCCTTATCTCGATTGCCACAGTTTCATTCGAATGTACAGTATTATTTTCGATTTTATTTATGAAACACCAGTTCACATGTACATACTGCCTTATATTAAGCTGTGCCTCTGGAGCCCCATATAAGGCACTTGTGTTTATTTGTCTTTTTTTTTTAAGGATTGAAGCTAAAGATGCCATTATTGTCCCCCGTTGTTCAGATGGAGGGGTGTTCGGTTTTTGGCTTGGTCTTTCCTTCTCGTTCTGTGCAAGAAGCCCAGAGAACAGCTCTGAAGTGCAGCTTGTGGCTAAAAAGAGCACGACGTTTAAAAAAAAAAAGCACATCACGAGTGAATTTCAATCAAAACTCACGTTCTGTTGGTTTCTCTTGTTGCATCAGATTTGTGTCTTAAAGTCTTTACCACAGTGCATTAAACTGCCCTGACGTGTTGAGGAGGAAAGCAAATGTTTTTCTTTTCCCCTGTTTGGTTGAGTTCGTGGTCGCTTCAGCCTTTTGATTCAAACCACCTGTCATTTTCAGACACTCAGAGATGGATGCAAGTCCAGTTCCTGCCCAGTCCACAGGGTGTTGTGGATGTTGAGATGCTCGTTAATCATCCTGTGTTGTCGGGGGAGGTTTTGAAGCTGGACTTTACTTTTACCTGTCAGAGCTGATCGCCTGTAAAGGACATTCAGTAATCCCAAACTTTCTGTCCCTGCTCCTGCAAAGTGACCGTCGTAATCCGTCCCTGGATTTTCCCTTCAAGTGAGCAAAGACTGCAGCTGATCTCCACATCACTGGGAGCCTCACATTTCATGCAGTGCTTGGTTTCTGAGCTGCACCTTCATGCTGAGAACCGCAGGCATGAACTCCGTCGGACACGTCGCCTGGTTGCTTTCAGCTACAGCACACTTTGGGGTTTTGTTGCCTCCAGATTTTGAAGATCTGATGTTTAATGACTAATTTTTCAAACGGTGTTATGATGATCCCCGAGTATAATTGTGTAAAAAATGTTTTCTGTATCCATAAACACGCACTCCTTCAACATATTTCTGAATGAAACATGTTTCTTTTCAAACTCCTCGCCTGGTTTTTATTTGTCATCCACTTTTAGCTGTTCTTAATTAAGGTCCATCGTCCAGAAACTGAACCGAGGAAAGTGGGTCATCTCTTTGTTGTGGGATTCTTTTTCCTGCAACGTCAACTTTTAATCGTTTAGCTGACACAGACTCTTATTTAAAGACTAATAAACAATAATTTAGTCAATTTCTTAGAAGGAAAAACAACATTTAGTCTTGACCAAAATAAAACTACATGGACAAAACGGCAATGTTTAGTCAAACAAAAAAATTAAAAGTTAATTTATTTCAATTGTTTATCCTCTTAAGATCCATTGAGTGTCCAATAGAAAGAATATTTGTGATTGGAGGGATAAACTTCCTACTTTTCATAATTTTACATTAACATATTGATGCACCACTAAAACTAAAGTACAGTCAATTTTGGGGCGTTTTGATGTCAAAATAGACAATTCCTAAGAATTCTGATCTAGAAAATGAAATGTCCACATGTGAAAACAGTAAAAAATATGTTACGAAGCTGTTTTCCTCATTTGTAAATGCACAAACATTCAGAAAGACATTTTGATGATGACTCATTATAAAAAGATCAACAACCCAGAAAGTTCCTGGAGAAACTTTGACCACTTTGAACTTTGGGCCACGTTGCAGCCATTTGAAACTTTTGATTTGACAGTACTGTGTGTTGGGGTTCACTAACACCACTACAAATTTCGGCTGAGTATCTCAAAAAATGGCTGACATGTATTTTGCCTTTTTAGCTCAGGTTGTCATGTTGCATTCTTGATTTACAATCAGTCTATTAGGGATTGTTTTCAGCTACCAGTACACCAAATTTCAGCTGCATAGCTCTAAAAAACAGTAGTATCCATTTGAAGTTAGCCATCTTGAATTTTTTTATTTGAATTCAGAATGCGTTGTGCATCATTGTCAGCTACACACCAAACTTCAACTCAATATCTTTTAAAATAGCTGAATTATTGTAATCCCCCCCCCCCCCCTTTTAGCTAAGGTAACCATCTTGGATTTTTATTTGCATTGATAACGACTCGCTCTCAGCTAGAGCCACACCAAATTTCAGCTCATTCTCCAAGAATGACTGAGTTATAGTCAGTTTAGAGTTTTCTGTGGCAGCCATCTTGAACCAAAATGGCTCCAAAAGTTAATCAGTGTTTGTCTGGACAACAAGGTCATGTGAACTCGCTGTGGTGGCAGTTAGAGGCCGTGAACTTCTGTCTGTGTTTTTCAATTCGAAAAATGGCGTGTTTGTTTACAAATCACGTCGCCATGGTAACTCGAAATGCCAGTAAAAGCAATAACACACATCACTGTGCCGAGCCGGTCGTTTTCATGTAAGGTTTGTGGTAATAAATGTTGAGGTTCACACCGTATTAAAGTTGATAGAACAGCAAGACACTTTCAGGTGGATAATAATTGGGGGCTGCTTTTACCAGCCAGTCCCCCCAGTATAAACCATGTTAAACGTCCAGTGAAAATCCTTAGCTAAGTAAGGAGTAATCACGAGTACTGACTTTTAAAGGCCAAAATGCAAATCCAGTTTTCTTTTTTTGGGAAGGGGTGGGAGTGTGTGTGTGTGGGGGGGGGTGCTCTTATTTCATAAATACAGCAGTTTAATATGCATACACACCACAGAGAATTAGGTTAGATACAACTTTATACTTTGGGAAGATTCCTTAAAGTTTTTAAAAAGCACCAAACAAACTGGTCCAGTGCTTACAGTGGGATGTGTGAGGCCGGGTCAGCTCAGAACCAGTTCAAATCATGTTTGCTGTAACAAGTGCAGGCCATTAATTATGACATCATTAAGCTAATGGCTTTAGTTAAAAACAATTGGTAAAGAAAAAGAGTAAAACATGACATTAGAACATTTCTGACCAATTTTTGGACTTTGCCAGTGTTGTGCCAAAAAACAAAAAGTGCCCTGTTGTTAAAAGCACGTCAGTACGCTGACTCATCCACAGATATACATTATATGACGGGATCAGGCTTACTCTTATAAACTAGTTATTAAAAAGTCGATGCACCAATCAGCTGCTCAGCCCGGCTGGAACTTCATGCAGCTCGTTCTTTGTTAACAAGAAGCAAACTGCAGAGCTTGGATCATAAAATGTCAGGAAACACTGCAGAGCATTTTCAAACTTCATGGTATTCAATGTGTTTTTTAAAAGTATATCATTATTTGAACTTACGGAAATATTTGCTTTTGTTTGACTTTATTTGTAAAATCTATAAACAATTATCTTAAGCTCCATTTACATTTTATCTCTGTTAAATCCTGTGCAACACTGTGACACCTACATGCAACAGATGAGGTTTCTCCTGAGGTTGTTGCATAAAGCAATCAAACTCATATTTTGGCCCTTGCGGCTCCTGGGACCCCCTCCTGTGGAGTTTGGTGTCTGTGGAAACCTTGCATTAACTGCTGTGATGTGAAGTCTGCCCACTGCAGAGGCTCACTTCCCATTTTATTCTGTCTATTTGTAGCCATTGCCACGCCCTCCTCTCGATTGGCCAGGTTAAAAAACCGCTCAGCCAGTGTGTGTCAGGCTCAGACCCACTGCTGCACTTTGAGTCAACTGGTCATACAGGAAGCAGCTCCTGCAGCGTCAGGCCACAAACTGGGCACGTCTCACACCAGAACCTCAGTCTGAAGATGCTCTGCAGCTCAGTCCTGCTGGAGCTGTGAGGACTGTCCTGTGCCTTAAAAAATCTTCTTTAAAAGACTGCACACCTTTTTTTATTTGTCCTCTGGCAGCAGGGGGTTGCTCTGGTCTGAGGGGGTGAGCTTGGATGATGGCTGGCTGCTGTGTGTCGGCGGAGGACAGAGAAACCAAGAGGATCAATGACGCGATCGAGGAGCAGCTGAGGAGAGACAAGAAGGACTCCCGCAGGGAGCTGAAGCTGCTGCTGCTGGGTGAGCATCTCTGGGGGAGGAGGGGGGTCAATCTGGGGCTCTGTCATCAGAGAAATCAATTAAAGGCCACTTCCAGATATAAGTGACAACTGCAAGAGTTTTATCTTTATATGAAATTCAAAAGAGCTGATTTTATTGTCATTTTACATAAAAAATGTCCCGTGTCAGAGGGTGATAAACGCTTGAAAGTGACCTCACTGTTTCCTGACCACACCTGGACACGCAGAGTGGGAGGTGGGACACAAAGCCAATAAATCTAAAGCTGCTCAGTAATTATAAAAGAGAAATGGTTTTTATAAAGTAAACTAACAAAAGGCTACTGAAAATAAACTGTCAACTCCCAGCTCGTCCGTTTTGATTGATTAGCTCGTTGATTGTTGTTATTTTTTTTAAAGTTTATAGCTCATAAATATTTGAGTCCTATAAACTGTTCCTGTTTGGCTGCATGCGTCTTGACCCTGCGCCATCGTTGAGCCAGTGTGCTTTTACGCACCGCGCACCATTTAATTCATCACTTTTGTTGTTGGGTTTTTTTTTTTGTTGTTGCAAAATTCATATATGGAGAAAACAAACAAGTGGTTTAAATTTAACTTCTTGAACTTGGTCAACAAAAGAGGCCAACAGTGATGTTTTCTACCTAAATTTTAATTTAATTTTAGAATTAGCACAGTCCATTTGAACCAACTGTTTAAACAATGGGGGGAATGTTCTCAAGCGCGTGCTAATGATAAAAATCCCCGGTGCTGTCCCTCTGCTGTGTGCGCATGTCTCGCCACAGACAGTTTGCAGAATGTGCCCACTTTGAGCCAAAGATCATCTGCTCGTTTTACTGCAGCAGTGTGGGAGAGGGCCTCCGCTCGCTTCGTGGTGTATTCGAAAGCCATAACTAGCTGCTGCGGACGCGCCTCATGCAAAAATCATGCAAATCCCTCGTGGTGCGAGAACATGAGCGACAGGTTTGTGCTCCACCGTTCTCTGAGGAGTTAGACAGAATAACTGCCACCTTAGCCATAGCTTTAAACCCACTTGAAGGTGGTCTGATAAAGCTGGTCCACGAACCTAGAAGTCTCCTGGTTCAGGGGAACAAGAGAGACCGTAGAGGAGTCGAGAGCTGATGGAGTTGGTTAACAGGCTGTGGGATGAGCAGGAAGAGGTGCAACAGCTTCGGAAACAGAAAACAAAAGGGCCAGAGGACACAGTTTAGATTACATCTTTAAATTGAAATGTGATAAAACACTTCATATTTAACATTATAAACACTTACATTCAACACTGATCGTCTTTTTTACAAAACTATTTAAAGAGCTTGAAAGAAAGCGATCAGGGCTGATTCAGGTTAAATGGACGGTGTAATGTGTAATCTTCAACATGTTGCTGCTACTTGGATGACATGGTCAGGACGACTCCGAGCTCTCAGAGGATTTCATTAAAACGGTCCCCGTCCGGTTCAGTCCGGCCTACAGGGAGCACCCAGGGGGTGAAGCGCTTTCACATTCTGCCTCTTCTCAGGCCTCACACCTGATGAAGGACATGGACTTATGTCAGGAGCATCTGCTTTACGGTTGGAAATTGGTGCTGAAGTTCAAGTTCAAGTGTGTTTATTATCATTTCACCACGTGGTACATGAGGTGGAGCGAAATTATGTACACAGGGTCCCAGTTACACCCAACAATAGCAAAATATACAGTATAAAAAGAAATAATGTACACTAAGATAGGGGAGTGGAGGCGCAGAGGTTAGAAGATGGGCCTGTGATCGGAAAGTCGCAGGTTCAACTCCCGGTACCGTCAACATCAAAATGTGGGTGGAAAAGGTGAAACACCCACACCTGCCTCCACCCTCATTCGTCCCACTCTGGGCCCCTGAGCAAGGCCCTTAACCCCCACCATCTGCTCCCTCAACAGGTCTCTCTTGAAATTAAGTTCTCGTGGCTCAATGAGACTACCTGGATAAATAAAGGGTAAATGAAAAAAAAAGATATACGTCTAACAGTACGCTAAAAGATCTAAGATGCTAAACTCTAATAATGTAAAATAATACAGTGTAACAACAGCAGCCCGAACATGAGTCTGTGTGAACAGATAGGTTTGAATGAATACAGCAGCATGAAATAATCAGCAGCATGAGATCAGCAGAATGGACAATCAGCAGCACATATCACCAATCAAAGTGGCATTACAGTGATTTATTTTTCTTTTTTTTCTTATGTTTTTTAAACAAAGTTAGGAATGTACGAGCAAAGTCTATAAAAAGTGCAACATGGGGAAAAAAACGCTCATCAATCATTCAAGAAAGTGCTTTTTACCACAAAAAGCATCAATATATGAATACAATGTTCTGATATATAAAATAGATCAACATTAAAATAAAATTAAAAAAATGTACATGTGACAGCTTCATTCATATTGAATTAAACCATCCATCATCTTTTACCGGCTTCTTCCTTTCTGGTTTGCCGGGGTCACTGGTGCCCAGCAGTCCCTGTGCGAGACATCCTGGACACGACATCACAGGACACTTAGAGACGAACGAGACAACCATTCTCAACTATATCAAATAACACAAATGTACACTTACAAGTTAAAAAGGACATAAAACAAGAAACTAAAATGCTAAAATGACCCAGAAACTCAACCACTGTGTGAACTGGAATATATCAGTTTTATCTGTGTTCTTTTCACTTATGTAAAAAGTGCTCAGTCTTTATTAAACAAGGCGATACTCAGCAGCTACTGGCTTGAATAATAAAAAAAACTACCCATATTCTTTCTGATGAATGTATGTAAATCATACTTCAGAGGATGTTTGTTGTGCAGAGCACAACACAGTACAAACTTTAGGAAATCAGACTGTTGCAGTGACTTCTTTTGCATCTTGTATTTGCCTGCAGAGTCCCACCTGACAGCAGGAGTCATTTGCAGGTGGTGCTAGTTGTAGTAGTTCTTATCTCTGATGTTAAGGCCACATCTTTTTACTCTGCACTGTCGAGGAAGTGTGTGTCTGTTTAAATGTCTTCTCACCAACAAGGAAACACCTGTTCATACAAGAAACACCCAGATGTGCTCAAAGAAGCCAGCCTGAACGTAAGGGCTGATTGTTTTTATGTGTTAAACTTATTTTTTCTTTACACCAAAATCTGTGAAAATAGAAAAACACTCAGGTTTTCTCTCCAGTTGAGGTGTTCCAGTAATTGTGTTCACAAGTGATAGTACGATGAAGACAAACTGGGGCTTATTAAGCTGTAATGAGGTTGTTGCTCCGATCTACTGTGCTGAAAGGGGTGTGCCAAAAGACACAGCTATACACTATTTCACTGACATTTTGGTCATCAGGCGTATACAGACACTTTGCTAAAAATTAGAATATCATGGAAAAGTTGTCTAACTTCCATAATTCCATTCAAAAAGTTAATCTTTAATAGACGATAGATTCAGGGCCCACAATTTAAACAGTTTCAACTATTTATTTGTTTATTTTTACATAATTTGGGCTTCCAGCTCATGAAACCCACGAAAACAGGATTTCAAAAAATTAGAATACTGTGGAGAAATCAGCCCATATTTTGCAGGGCATGAATGTTTTAAACTGCGTGTTACACATTAATCTTCTACTAAGCTCAAAGCACCTGCACAGGTTTTCCCAGGTGTCATTAAATTGCTTCAGTTTGGTTCCGTTGTCTCAGTTTGGTTCAATATGGGGAAGACTGCAGACATAACAACTGGTCAGAAGACCATCATTGATACCCTCCATAGGATGGGTAAGCCACAAAAGTTCATAGCTAAGGAGGCTGGCTGTTCACAGAGTGCTGTGTCCAAGCATATCAATGGAAAGTCTAGTGGAAGGGCAAAATATGGCAGGAGAAGATGCACCAGCAACAGAGATGACCGTGGGCTTCAGCGGATTATTAAACAGAAGATTCCAGAATCAGGCAGAGATCCAGAAAGAGTGGAATGAGGCGGGAGTCACAGCTTCAAAAACCACCACATTCAGACACATCCGGGAGATGGGCTACAACTGTTGGGTTCCTCGGTTCTCTTTTCTGATGAAAGTAAAGTGTGCCTTTCATTCGGAAATCAAGGTCCAAGAGTTTGGAGGAAGAAGGGTGAGGAACAGAGCCCATACTGCTTGAGGTCCAGTGTGAAATATCCACAGTCAGTCATGATTTGGGGAGTTATGGAAGCCCAGATTTCCTTGATGCTTGCTGTCAGCTCTTCTTTGTTGTTGGGTCTGGTGCCCCTCATTTTCCTCTTGAGAATACCTCATAGATTCTCAATGGGGTTTAGGTACGACGAGTTGGCTGGCCAGTCAAGCACTGCGGCATGGGCATCAAACCAGGTTTTGGTGCTTGTGACGGCATGGACAGGGGCCAGGTCCTGCTGGAAGATGAAATCTGCATCTCCATACAGATCCTCAACAGAAGGAATCATGAAGTCCTCTAAAACATTCTGGTAGACTGTTGCAGTGACCTTGGATTTAAGAAAGCAGAGTTTACCAACACCTGCACTAGACATTGCTCCCCGTCAATGCCACAGGCTGATTACCTCAATGCCACGTCACATCGAGGCAGTGATTAAGGCAAAGGGATAAAGAACCATATTTTGATTGATTTGTTGTGACCCTAATTTCTTTCTTTTTTTTTTGCAAAAACTGAGTAGTGTGGGCTGATGTCTTCACAGTATTCACATTTTTTGAAATCCTGTTTTCGTGGGTTTCATGAGCTGGAAGCCCAAATTATGTAAAAATAAACAAATAAATACTTGAAATCGTTTAAATTGTGGGCCCTGAATCTATCATCTATTAATGATTAACTTTTTGAATGGAATTATGGAAGTTAAACAACTTTTCCATGATATTCTATTTTTTTGGAAAGGGTCTGGAATGAACAGGTTCTTATTGTAGGGAAAATGAAAACGTCTCAGATCAGATGTCTTTCTAGTCATCTGCAGTCATCATTTCTTACCCCAGAATGAAATTTAAAAAACGTTATTCTTTATTTAGATCCACAATCTGTCTCGTTAATTTTTTTTTACAAGATCTTTACCAGCCCAGGAGCAATGAGAGCTCTCTGCAGTCTGACAAGCAGTCATCGCTTTTGTCATGTTGTCAGGAACTGCTGCTTGTAATGAACGTCTCTATAGATTCTGGAGTGTGTGTCTACAGTCTTGATAAACTGTAGAAATCTTTACTTTCTCCAGTTTTATTTAGAAGATGTCCTCCAACACAAGGCAGCAGGTCAACATGGATCCTAAAAAAAGCAGTGGATACTAAAAGTTGCTCATTTGCTTAAGTCAACATGGTCTCTCCTGAACATTTTGACGTTTTTGTACGAACAGCTGTTCGTAAGTTGTTGAGAGCAATTGTTTGGTTTTTTTTGTGAGTTTTTTAAGAACAAGAACAAGAAAGGGTGTAATCTCCTGAATCATGAGAGGATTGATGAGGTACTGTTGAATCCAGCACACAGTTGCTGTTTTGTGCTGGTCTTCAGGACCCGACCATGACATCATTTAGACCTGCAGACTTGTTCCCGTTCAGTCGCTCTTTTCTTTTAGCTGCTGAAGAGAAACATTTGGGGCGAAGAGGCAGCGAAGCTTTCATTATTCCCTTTAACAGACACCTTACAGCAACAGTGTGTGAAATGACGAAGGACGTTGATCCACAGCTTTTACGCCTTTGAGCTGACAACAGAGGTAGTCACAGAGCAGAGTTGGTGAGTAGGTGTGAAGGTCCGCTGTCAATGCATTGATTTCACCATTCCTACTTAAACATACATCATCATTCATTCAACCTTTATTTATACAGGTTAATCCCATTGAGCCTAGAGGACTCATTTACAAGAGAGACCTGATTTCAACAAAGAATGATGACAACAATGGACAACAATAGTCAAATATAAAAGAGGCATATAGATTTTTTTTTTTTTTTTTTTTTACAAATTAAAATAAGATGGCAAAAAAGTATCAAAAACAGCTAGATTATAAGGCGAATGTAGAAAACTAAAAACAGGAACATGTCTGCATTGGTCCCTGCCAGGAGTCCAACAGATTCTTAAAGCCACTTAGAGAGGTCAAGGTCGAGAGCTTCAAATCTTTTTGTAAGATATTCCAGGGAAAAGGAGCAGAGTAGGAGAAGGCCCTTTTGCCTAGTTCAGTCCTCATTGAGGGAACACTGCAGGTAATAATGTCCTGAGAGCGCACTCCGTAGCTGCACTCACGCAGAGACATGAAGGAGGAGATGTATGAAGGCAGCAGACCAAGAAGTGATTTAAAGATGAAAATGTACCAGTGGGAGCGTCTGTGTGAAGTTAATGATGTCCAGTTAACCAGTGAATACAGGGTGCAGTGGTGGGTAAAGATAATCACAGCCAGTTATGAATCTTAGTGCACCATGATAGACAGCATCCAACATCTGCAGGGTTCTTGTAGGAGCATTCATGTAAATAATGTCACCGTAATCAATTGAGGGAAGGAAGGTCACAGATACAAGACGTTTCCTAGCATTCAGGGTTAGACAGGATCTGTTTCTGAAAAAGAAACCCAGTTTAACTTTCAGCTTCTTTGCCAAGTTTTCCATGTGGAGCTTAAAAGAGAGATGTGAGTTGACCAAGATACCCAAATATTTATAGGAATCAACTAACTCAATGGGGACACCATTTGAGGATAAAATCGGAGGAAGAACTGCTGGGACGGACTTCCTATTTGAAAACAACATCCCTTTGGTTTTATCAGCATTTACGACAAGTTTGAGGCGGAACAAATCAGACTGGATGATGTCAAATGCAGATTTCAAAAGCTGGAAAGCCTTTTCAACTGTTTTAGCTCAACAATAAACAACTGTGTCGTCAGCATAGAAACGTATGGATGCATCAGGGATGTTCTGACCTACATTACATATGTAGATTGTAAAGAGGGTGGGTCCTAAGACTGAGCCTTGTGGTACACCATTGTTGACTGTTAAATAACTGGAGGAAGTACCATTATGTTGAACACATTGCCTCCGGTCTGAAAGATAGTTAGAGAACCAACCAATGGTGTGATCTGAGAAACCAATGTCTGAGAGTTTATGACACAAGATGTTCTGATCCACAGTGTCAAAAGCTGTAGACAGGTCTAAGAAAAGTGCAGCACAATAATCCTTAGCATCCAGTGCTTCAACAACATCATTAAAACCTTCAGTGAAGCAGTGGTTGTGCTGTGTTGTTTCCTGAAACCAGATTGATGTGGAGGTAAGATGTTAAATGAGTCCAGGTAATTTTTGATTTGAGAGTTTATCAGTTTTTCTAGAACCTTGGCTAAAATGCAGAGTTTAGAGATTGGTCGATAGTTGTTCAGTGAGGTGGGGTCTCCTCCCTTCAGCAAAGGAAGAACAAAGGCTGTTTTCCAAGTGTCTGGGATGGAGTTTTGTCTTATAGACAGGTTAAAGACGTGGGACACAGGGACTGCGATGATATGAGCAGCCAGCCTTAAGAAATAAGGTGGAAGTTCATCTGGTGCTGCAGATTTTTAAGGATCAAGATCTCTTAATCTCTTATCATCATCATCATCATCATGAGACACGGCTGGCTCAATCGAGTGAACGACCACTGACGAACTAAAGCGAAGCTCACTTTTGCAGACCTTTCTTGAAAAATAGATCTGTGATCCCATCTGGATTGGTCTGGTTAAAAAAAGGTTATTTAAAAAAAAAAATCATTTTGCAAAACAGGTTGTTTTCTAGTGTTGAGGTGTGAATGATACAGGTTGTTCTGTAGAGGTGACTCAGAGAAACTTTGTCTACCCTTCATCCTTAAAATGCAGCACAAGCTTAAATTTGCCTCCACAATTCATCTGCCTTAACGTGACCCACCTCATCCTCAAGAAACTTGACTTGTAAACAAGGTACATTCAAATGCAGACCATTTGGCTAAACTTTGTTTGCTAAGACACGGAGGCTGGAGTTTTCCTAATGCAATGCAAAACAGTCAGGACACTTGAGTTCTGCTCAGGGCACCAAGTCGGACTGCAGCTCAGGCAGAAGCATGCTGCAGTCATATAATGTCCATTTCATAAACAAATACAGACATCGTGTGGTCCTAATGAAGAAATTGTATTGCAAATGCAAACTTAATGAGAAAAAGATAAATATTAAATAAGAGAGTTTAAGCATTTTGATTTTAGTTTCATTAAATTAGCAAATTTGTAGTTTGGTGTTTGAGATTTAAGGAGTCTTATACTGTGCAACTTTAAAAGCCGTGAACAGATCTTGTCATGTCACTGCGAGCTTCATACGATCGTGACATGAAACTCATTTAATCAGAGAAGATGGAAAAGGCCAGTAAATGTGGACGAGGGAACGCTTTAAATGGTTTTAGTTTTGCTTGTTGTGTTTCCAGTTGGAAGCCTTAACTGTTTTTTATGTTTTGAATGTTGGTCAAAATGTATGATTATGATACAACTAATTCAGGTCTCTCTTGTCAATGAGCCCCCGAGGCTCAATAAGATTAACTTGCATAAATAAAAGTTGAATGAAACAACCAAACATGTTAAATCACTCAACACGAGTGCAGCAGCCATTTAAATATCTTCTGACAGAAGAGACGATGACTGACTCCAGTTTTAAATTGCACTGACGTTTGATTTCCATGAGCTTTAAACAGAACTCAGCTCAAGGATCTCCATAATTCACTTTGTGCATCTATATATTACAAATCAGGTGTCATTTTGGAAGTCAAATCTATATTCAAATGGCTCAGTTTACCTGCATAGACGAGTTAGCAGTCAAACGTTATCACGTTGGTTTACTTGTTATTTACTTTACCCTGACACTTGGCAACATATGCATAAAAAACAGGTCTTGTCTTGTACTTCAGGAAATATTTAAAGCTGTAATTTCATTAAATCCTTAAAATTCTTGACGTTTTACTTTCAGTTACAGAAAAATACTTCAAAATACCTCAGTATAAAGCCAACAGCTGACGTCATTTCTTAGGTTTAAAATGAAAATAATACACAAATTACACAAAAATTTTAAACTCTGCACTTTGTTAAATAACGAATAATGTGTCTATGTTCATACACCTATCAATTTGCCACAGATAAGTTTTAATATTTTAAACTAAACTATAATCTATTGCAGTCGAAGTAGGAGCTCTGCACCAAAAACATGAACATTTCCTTAATTTAATCTAACTTTGTAGCATTATGTAAAATTACTTCTACATTTAAAGTCATTTATGACAGTGCCCTATTAAAGCTAAAATTTCACCTTGTAACTCAAGTGTCTACTGAATGTACTTTAAATTACAATGTCTAAGGGTCTAATAGAAAAAAGTGTAAATTAGGTTGAATTTTGTTCACTATAAATAAAATGTAATATTTAGCAGATGTCAAAGGTAGATTTTATTGTTTATTCTACAGCCACAAACTGAAATCTTAAATGCTGTCTTTACAGTGTAAAAATGTCCGTCTCCTTGTGCACCCAGCACTGGTTTTCTTATTTAAACATGATCAAACATTAACGTTTGCTGCATCCTAATAGGCACTGGTGAGAGTGGAAAGAGCACCTTCATCAAACAGATGAGGATCATCCACGGAGGAGGATACACGGATGAAGACAAGAGGAGTTACGCTAAGCTGGTCTTCCAGAACATCTACACATCAATGCAGACCATGATCAGGGCCATGGGGGCGCTAAATATATCTTTCGCTGACCCCAGTAACCAGGTGCAAAGTCTAAAGCTCCAGTCAAGAAATCTTATTGAATTATTTGTATTAACAAAGATATAAGTGTCTGGATCATTTAAAAATCTGAACATTTTCTCTGATGAGGAATTGTCTTCACGTCTGTGTCCACAGAACTATGCCAACTCAGTCCTGGAGGTGGAAGTGGACAAAGTGGAGGAGTTAGACCCAAACCTTGCGGTGGCCATCAAGAATCTGTGGAATGATGCCGGGATCCAGGAGTGCTACGACCGACGCAGGGAGTACCAGCTGTCTGATTCCACCAAATAGTAAGAATGTGAAAATGCACTGAGACTCTAAACTGCAAGACAAAAAGCACACAGGACCGCTCTGTGTAGTTGACACATCAGGTTCATAACCAGACTCAAATAAAGCTATTAACTTTTTTCCTGTTTTGATTTTTCTTTTGCAAAAACTTTAGCTATCTGACTGACCTGAATCGAATCTCACAGAATTCCTATCTACCAGACCTTCAGGACATCCTCAGAGTCCGAGTGCCAACCACGGGTATCATCGAGTACCCCTTTGACATGGAAAATGTCATTTTCAGGTGAGCTACATCAAAAACACTGTAATGGAACTGTAAGATGTCACACTTGAGCAGCAGGCAGATCTGTTTTCTCTTTGTTGGGGCGGTTTTGTTTGCAGGATGGTGGATGTAGGGGGTCAGAGGTCAGAGAGGAGGAAGTGGATCCATTGTTTCGAGAACGTCACCTCCATCATCTTCCTGGTGGCGCTCAGCGAGTACGATCAGGTTCTGGCAGAATGTGACAACGAGGTGGGAGTCCAGCTCAAAACAAAACGTAAAGGAACTAATGAGTTTCTTATGAACGGACGTTCACTGCTGCGTCTTTCTGTTCTGCCAATCCGTCTCAGAACCGTATGGAGGAGAGCAAAGCTCTTTTTAAAACCATCATCACATATCCCTGGTTCGAGAAGTCTTCGGTCATACTTTTTCTCAACAAGACTGACATCATCAAGGAGAAGATCATGTACTCCCACATAGCCACATACTTCCCTGAGTTCACAGGTTAGATTGTCCTCGATTTTATCTGCACATTTGAAATAGTGTAATCTTACAAGTAGGTTGAGATTTAAATAATTTGTACAGATTTGTGAAACAGCATTTTAATCAAGAAAGAACGTTGGTGCAGGGGTGCCACTACGGAGGGGCGGGGGGTGGGCAATGGACATGCCTATAAACTTGCTGGTTCACCACTGGCTCCCATTGGCCGATGCAACAGTTAAATTCAATTCAATTTATTTAGCTCCAAGTCACAACAGAAGTCATCTCAGGTCACTGTACAAAAACACACATACTTTATAAAAGCCAGTTTGTAAAAGTTATCTAAGGAAGTCAGCAGATTGTGTTGAATCTTCATCGCAGTGTCCCATCCTGAGCAAGCACATTGGCAACAGTGGAAAGGACTAACTTTTTTTTAATGTGGGGGTTAAAAGACATGTCCTGATCAAAAATAACACCAAGGCCTTTTACATTAGAACTGGAGGCCAAATTAATGCCATCCAGAGAAAGTGAAAGACTGCAACATTTATTCCCAAGATGCTCAGGTTCTAAAACCTGTCTTGTCTGAGTTTAAAAGCAGAAAATTAAGGGTCATCCAGGTTTTTATGTCTTTAAGACATGCTTGTAGTCCAAGTAACTGATTGGATTCATTGGGTTTCATGGAAAATGTATCATCAGCATAACAATGAAAATTTATCCCATGCTATTTAATAACTTATGTTATGGAAGCATATATTAAGTAAAGAGACTAGATCAAAAAACTCAGAAACCTGAGGAACTCCATGAATAACTTTGGTGTATGAAGAAGAGTCATTATTTACATTTACAAATTGGAATTGTATCAGATAAATATAATTTAAACCAATTTAGAGCTGTTGTAATTCCAATATCATATTCAAGTCTCTGTTGTGGAATATGGTGATCAACTGTATCAAATGCAGAACTGAGGTCTTACAGGACCACCTGTCCATTGTCAGAGGCCATGAGAATATCATTAGTAACTTTCACCAATGTTTCTGCGTTATGATGAGCTTTAAACCCTGACTGAAACTCCTCAAACAGATTATTTCTGTCCAGATGTTCACACAATTGATTTGCAACTATTTTTCAAGAACTTTATAGATGAATTAGATATAGATAATTGGCCAGAATTCCTGAAATAAGATCTGTTCTCTTAAGGTTTAATTACAATAACCTCAAAGCACTGTGGTACGTAACCATTCATTAAAGACAAATTAGGCAGATCCAAAATTTGCACATTAATTACAGGAAATACCTCTTTAAATAGCCTGGTTGGGACGGGATCTAGCAGACGCAGATGGTTTGGATAAAGCCATTATATTTGACAATTCAGAGAGCTCAACAGGATAAAAACAGTCCAAACACAAATCAGGTAGTAACATTTTTAAAGTTGTCTCATCTGACACAGAACCAGAGGCGATAGTAGGAATGTTGGTTTGAATTTTCTCTCTAATTGAAAATATTTTTATTTATAAAGAATCTCATGAAGTCATCACTGCTTATAGCTGTAGGGATACATAGCTCAACAGAGATGGGACTTTTCATTAGTCTATCATACTGAACAGAAACCTGGGGTCATTTTTATTCTCATCTATTAAAGATCACTAATATACAGTTCTAACACAACTGTGCCCTGCTGTGGGAAACAGGTTTTCTTAAAGGACTGAAATAATTTGAATCCTACATTTCAGGACCTCAACAGGATCCAGTCGCCGCTCAAGAATTCATCCTCAAAATGTACCAAGAACAAAACCCGAACAAGGACAAGAAACTGTACTCCCACTTCACCTGCGCCACAGACACCGAAAACATCCGCTTCGTCTTTGTGGCTGTGAAGGACACCATCCTCACAGCCAACCTGAAGGACTTCAATTTGGTGTAACAGAAAAGGGATGAAAGAGAAGAAAATGCCATACAACTGTCAGAATAATACTTGACAACAAGAAAGAAAATATCACTTCAGGATCAAATGTTTCAATTTCAAATGGGTGAGATCTGATTTAGTCAAACATGTGCAGTCATAGAGAATATGATAACTAGTGATTGTGTAGGTTAGTGTCTATAGTGTAACTTTTTATAAATGGTTATTTTTGTGTGGGAGGTTTCTGCAAATATGTTGTAAATTAGAATTGCACTGATGGCTCCAGATTTTTTTAAAACTTTGATCTGACAAATTATAATTTGGGGCATTTCGTATTTATCTATTTTCTCCTATCACCTATTTTGAGTCTTTTAAAATTTTCTCACAGATGTGTTGTTGCTTGAAGACATTAGCTGCAAAGCTGTGGTGCCTTCAAGAACCAGAAAAGAAAAAGAAAAAAAAAACTGATTTGACTTTAAGCTAAACTTTGGCCGATTCTGATCTCTAGCAGAGGAATTATTGCGCCACTCCTGTAAATGATGGCAGAATACTGACTGTAAAATAGTAATGCATCCGTGTGGAATGCTTTATTTAAAAAAAATGTGAAACTTGATTGGAATACTTTTACATATATATATATATATATATATATATATATATAAATACATCCACCTCTTGCAAATGTAAAGTTTCCTTTAAACCTGTTAATCAAGGAGTACTTGCAAGTGACAAATGCAGCAATATTAAATTTATTTTGTTTAGATGTACAGTACATAATCTGGACTGGACTGTAGAAACTGAAATATTATTTATTGTAATAATTATTTTATGAACAGGAGGAAATAGTTTCCCTGGTGTGCTCCTAGCACAGCAGATGAATAAAGATGGCACTGAAATTTGAAGCACATTTTATTTTATGGACACAACAAAAGAAAAAAGCCACAGCAGGAAACATTTTGCTGTCCCTCCATAAACAAAATGAAAAGAGAGCAATAATAATGTTTTGTCATTTTAATCTTTGACACACCTAAAACCAAAAAGAAGTAAACAGAAGCAGATAATAAGAACTCCTCTTTTAAATATACGCTTCTATGCATATTATATTGCTTGCATTGCATACGTGTAGTATAAAAACATGTGTGCATCACCTAGATTAATGTGAGGATGAGTATAAACTCAGATCCCATTAAATATACAGAAGATTGGTCAATTTAAATACAGTATAAAAATAACATGCATGGAAATCTCCAACTGAACAGTCTTTATATTAAAAAAAAAGGTACGGAGGTAAAAAGAGAGCACATGTTGAATGACGAGAGTAATAATGTTTTACATACATTTATTTAAGTTTGTTTGCCTTTTATTTATTCCAGTAAAATAAAGTGTTCAACTTTAACTGTTGTAGTTGATTTGGCCTCAGTGTTTTAGACATCTGTATCATATTTTTACTCTTATATACAACTTAAAAAAACGTGTTTTATGGCAACAAAACTGTAAAATCAGCAACTTATGTATGACAGTAATAGGGAGAGAAACCTGGAGGTCTTGTCGATCCTCCACATCCCTGCAGCCGTTTGGAAACTTAACGTTATTTTTAACAATGCAAACCGATTGTGCAAAGATATGAGTGCAATTAGAGCAAACAGGGCAGGATAAGGTTTGGTTTAATGTGAGCTTCTGGGGTGAAATAGTTCATTGTAGTTCAGAAACCCATTTATAGCACTTCTCTTACCGTGCACGCGCGCACACACTCATTTAATCCCAACACATGCTCAGCATTCACACCATCTCTGCACAGCTCACACATGTAAGGAGACAAAAACAGGCATGCAATAATGAAGGCACTGACACACACAGATTGTGTTTGTGTGTGTGTGTTGAGCACATCTTGTTCTTCTTCATCAGTATTTGGGTAAACTCTCTCTGGCATCCTCCAATTTGGTAAGAACCCACTAAAACGAACGTTTGAAAAAAAAATAAAAATTAGTTTGACCATAAAACCGACTCTTGTTGTTCAGGAAGGTGAGTTTTAAATGGAAAACTCACCTTGGCTATGTCGGCACTTTCAAAGTTTATGATCTTTCCAAACTCTTTAGCATGGAAGACTGATTTCACTCTTTCCTGCAGCCAAAGATCAGACTTTAAAACGGATAATTAAAGATGGAAAAAAGGCACTAAAGTTCGAGTAGAATCTTTGGTACCTTGGCCTCGATACGAAGTCGACGGCGCTCGACAATTATTGGATCCTTGGTGAATTCCTCAAACAGATACTGCCACTCGCAGGTCAGCTGGCCAAACGTGCCTTTGGTCACAAAAAAGATTCCTCTGGAAAACAACCAATGACGGCATGAGCTCGACAAACAGAAAGACACAAACCCAGAACACACGTGGTGTTCCAGGAGCTGCGGTGTTGGGAGAAAAGCTGAACATTTAAAAAGCTCTTCATGGGCTTCACCGTTTCCTCCAACTGTTTGGAAGCAATAAAATAAAGAAATGTAAACTTTTTACATTTTTAGCCACATTTGCAGTATACGTTTTACAAATGAAAGAAATAAATGCATTTTATAATGATTCATAAAATCCGTAAATGGGTGTAAAATCGAAAGTTCTCCATTTCAGATAATCATCATTTGGATCTTGCATCTACTTCACCTTTAATTTCACGTTTACAAGAAAATAAAATACACTTATCAGCTGTTTTAAACACGAGACAAGCTGTAAAAAAAAGAAAAAAAAAAGAAGCAGATTTCTTCGGCTGACAGTCACTCACCTCTTGGTGATCATGAAGAAGTCGGACTCGTTGACCTTCGCATGAGCAAAGTATCGATACTTGGCAAAACGTCCGTTCTCAATTTTCTGAAAGAAAAAAGTTTAAAGAAAAAAAAAGAGAGAGAACGCACTCAAAAAAGAAACAATACTTTGGTCTTGGGTGAAATGATGAATGAAATGAAAAACTAAAATGTGATGGTTGAAAACAATGGGATGAAACAGACGAGGGCTTTTAAAAACGTTCATTTATTGGGAGCAACAGTGAAAATTGCAGTTGATGAAAGGTTTATGAAGCAAAGATCGATGAAATGAGAAAACTGTAAAGACTTTGCATACAGTGCAAAGTCTTGATGCATGCTCAACAGATGAGCATGCATCAGGATTTATCAAGACTTTGGTTACTGTTTCATGAAAATAAAGTAAGAATGGATCTCTTCTGTTACAAATAGCATAAAATAAACAACAACAAAAAAGAATGAAACAATAGCAGAAGTAAACTGAAACAAACACATTATGATAAAAAACAAAACTAAAGTTTGATGTAAAAACATAAAATACAGAAAGACATCTTTCTTCAAAGCCCTTTCTTTGGTTTGTTCAGATCTCAGCTAACAATGAGCTACAACACTCCAGCAGACTACAGACAGAAGGCTACACTGAAACACGTCTACGGTCGCTTTAGCTGCTTTACTCATCATTCTCATCCTCTGAGGACGCTCTACTCCGTTCAATGAAGGCCGATCGCCTCTGTGGACATGAAGGAAGAGAAGAAGGAAAGTCAGAGGAGTGAGGAGCGGAGCTGCTTTAGACCGAGACACAAGCTCTGGACTGGGAAACGGTTCAGTTACATGTTCATTTTAATGATAACGGTTACATCGGGCCTTCATGTGTCTCGTGAACAACTTGCTCGTTCAGATTCCTAAATCCACACCTCCGCACCAGAAAACCTTTTCTTGAGCCATCTGACAAAGTAACATGAGCTTGTAGCCGCTCCGAACAGTTCCAAAACCAACGACGCCCAAAGAAACTCAATAATTTGGTGTATTTGAGGATAAAAGGTGGGACTGAAAAACTGAAGACTTCTGCGGTCACACTGAGATGAAAGCACTGATGATAGAATAAGCACTTAAAAATAACATTCATCTTCAACCATTTAATTCTGCCCATCTGCTCATAAAGTGAAAGACGTATAGGAATAACACATTTAAAGCCTTTTTAAACACAAAAAATGGCAACGTGGTATCGGATGTGGTTTCCACCTGCAGAACTTTCATTAACTAGTAACCACAACATCAACACCTAAAGCTGCTGAAAGAAGAGCGAAAGAAAAGGTTTGATGAAGATGAGGTGAAAACATTAACGTTGGGGATGAAGAGTCATTTAAAGGTTTGATGAGGATGAGGATGCTTAAACCTGGATAGTATTTAAGAGCATCTATTGATCATAGCTGCAATTTTCTTATAAATAAAAGCACCAAAGCCTGTTCCGTTTTCTTCAACATCATAATGAGGAGTTTTATTTTACTATTTTTATGAAAGACCTTGTAAAAGATCGGCTTTACTAACAAATGTGTAGTTCTGACACCAACTACTAACTACTAAAAACTGAATGAAACTTCAGTGAGTCAGGAGTGAAACAGGTTTACATGGAAATTTCCAATAAGAGTGTTCAGGATAACATCTGGTATGTTTAACAAACAGCTGCTCTACTCATATCCTGTGCATTTAACAGCCATTCAGACTGTAATATGTGTAAACTTTGTATTTACCTTTACAGCCCTAATGATTTAATAGGCATGTAAAAGTATCAAGTGTACGCAGAAGTCAACCCTTCTACACACATCTGTGTAAAACTCTAGGGCTGATGCCTTGTATACAAGAGTTGTTGCTATTAAAACAAAAAATAAACCTACATGGTAAAATGATGAGCTGATTTTCCCTGAAAGACCGTGGGAAGTAAAATATATCCGTAAATGTTTTTTTTTACCTGCAGCATCTGGCTGCCGATGCCCTCCCTCTCTTTATACGGCCGTATGACGCCGTCCTCGTGTATGAAGCGAGGAGGACGTAGAGATATGACGTCCTGCGAGGTCTCTGCCACCCTAAAAAAAAACACGGCAAAGCAACAAAGATGTGTGTTATGGAGGAAGACACACAACATGACTGACACCAACTCCTGCCTGCACACGCAGACAGAAATGATCATACCTCTTGATTCCCTGGAAGGTATTGTTGACCATGTCGATAATGCCTCCTGTAGGCCGAGCGACTGCACCAACCAAACCTTTGCCAACACCTTTGAAGAAGCCTGCTGCACCCTCTTTCTGGGCTCCTGTGCAATAATACACGTATAAAAGTTTGTTTGGACTTTTCTACAGTCGCTGTAAGGTTCTGTTAATCTCATGTACGAGACACAGTCTCAACACACCTTTAATGGGTCTGGTAACAATCCCTGTGATTCCACTGACAAACCCCTAAAAAACACCACAAACAACAAAATATTACCAAACGAGTTACTAAGTCAGAACAGTGTGTTAGTTGTCAGGTTCACTGTTGCTAATAAACAAGAGATTTGTTTTATGATTAAAATGTAAACAATAAGAGTTTTACACACAGAAACAAGTCCTTTTCCACCCCTGGTCAGCCCATCTCTCAGGCCACTGGGTTGTTTGTTCATGGCCTCTCGTCTCTTCTGCTGATATTCTTCATCCATGGTTATTGCAGCGACGCCTTTCGCCATGGCGCCCGTTATTCTGGAGGCTGCACCTGCTAACCCCCCTGCACAAAACGATCACAAACGTTACCGTGTTACATACAATTCATTCTTTACATAATGCCGCATGCAAAGACGTCAGAATGCTTTAGTCGATGTGACCCGTTAGCCCATAAAATTACTATGTCCAGGACAAATTATTAATTTACAAACAACATTACTTTTTCTCTAAGCTAAGATAGATCTGATGTGCAGCTAAAAAGTTCAATGTGCCAGCAAAATCTACAAGTATAAAGGCCTTAAGTTCTCCAAAATAAATAAAGTCAAAGTATGAGAATATAATTTACAATGCATTTGATTTTAAAACATAGTGAACATTTTTTTTCACAGAAGCAGAACTCTGTCCTTCAGTCTCATTCACAGGGTTTAAGACCTTCTTATCCCCAGGAGATTAAGACTGTTTTCTTCTTACCTACAGCTCCTCCAACCAGAGCTTTTACACCGAGAGCCATTCCCTCAACAAACTCCTCAGGACCCTGGATGGCTCCCTGAAAACAAACACACAACAGTTTACGATAAGGAAGAAACCAAGTCGCTGTTTTAAGCTGAAGAAGCTTTTTATATGAACATCCTAAACTAATGCTAATTATAATCATAAATAAAACATTTTAAATATTCAATAAGATTTAATTACTTATACCAGTCTACAGAGTTCTTTAATCTATAAGAAAATGAAAAGACAAATTTGAACTTTTTTAATGCATTCTTTTTGATACACTCACTGTTCATCATATTTTCATTTTTGCCAAAACATTGTCAGAACAGAGAAATCTTACTGATGTCTAAGCTTCATTAAACAGTGAACTTGAGAATAACAAAAACTAAAGAAGAAAGAAAAACATCATCATGCGTGCTTTCCCACCTGTGACGAGTCAAAATGTCTTCAGAGTATTTTTCCAGCGTGTTGCATTTTTTTACCTGATAGGGTTCATAGAAGAAAGCCTCTACACCCTCTGACAATCCTCTTATCAGCCCAAAGGGGTTTCCAAGCACATCCAGGCCCAGCACAAGCACATACATCTGTTTAATAGCCTGAAATACACACACACACACACACACACAGAAAAACGTAGATGTCACCACCTGTTTGCTTTGTTCTTCTGAACTTCATGGATACAGAGAATAAATTACAAACGAGGACAGAACAAATCAAATATGTGGTTCCCAACCATTAGTAGGTTTCTTGTTTCATAACGCTAAAGGCAAACTTTCATTAAATGGGTTCAAGAAAACAAAACCACATTGGAAAAAGGGTAAATGCTTCTACTTTTTAAAGCAAAATTTTAACATGCAGATAAAAAAACAGACTGATGGAAATATGGCCGATGAGTTTGCGTGCATTACCTGCTTAGAATAATGTCTAATGACCTCCCACTGCAGCTGCTGAGTGGTACAGAACTGGAAGTTCAACTCAAAGAAGGCCAGTCTGAAATAAACACGGTCAGTCAAGTCTCATCCAATAATTTATAACAGAAAATATACATGTTTGTGTGTAATGTGTGTGTACTGTATGTGTGCGTGGTTGTGTGTTCTTACTTGAAGACAACGTCCTGCACATCAGTGAGAGTCGCTCCGATACTTTTCAGCAGCAGGTTGAGGGACTGGACGGGGATGAGTTCTTTATCTCTCTTCTCTTTCAAGCCATCTTCTCCTCCCGTGCTGAGAGAGAAACTCAAATGCAGCTAAAAAAAAAAAAAAAAAAAGCTAATAATTTGTTTGTGTTGCTAAATTTACATAAAAACAAGTGCTATAACTTGTGTAAGTAGACATTATGTTGCTTTGTTCTTGCTTTTTCAGCTCATAGAATAACTGTGATGATAAATTTGTAATGGTTTTGGACAAGAGTTTTTATAAACAAAAAGAACCGCACTGATAGTTTCTTTAACTCACCTTGATGGGTGAAATGTGGAAGTACTCATAGAGACTGATAGGAGATGTATCAGCAGTAGACACATGGTTTAGTTGTGTCTTTATGTACTCTACATCTTTCTGAAACTGCTCAACCTGGAACAGAACACAACAACACATATTTGTGAAGAACAAAATGAGTTGAGTTTATAGAAGTGAAACTCCTTTATTTCACATTCTGATCAAAGGAAAGGGTCGGGTAGATGTGTAGCTTGTGTAGCTGACCTCCTGTTCCGAGGTCATGATGCTGGCATTCTCAGGAGTGAAAACGTCCAGTATGGCGTACAGGAAGCCCAGATCAAGCTTTAGATTCATCTCTTGAATCAACACTTTGAAGTACCTGCAGGGGAGCGGACATTTCATGACACTTTGAAGTAAACTAGAGAAAATGTTTGCAAATAAATGAAAAAAATGTGGTTAAACTAAAAAGAGACATTTATTCAGTATTATGAAAATGGTACATTTCTATTTAGAATCAAACTGTAACTTTGCCTTAAATAAACAGAAAGCAAGGAATACAGTAAGTTATTTAAAAAAAAGTGGAATATTTGGTTGAAGAGAGAAAATATTTACTTGATGCGAGAGATGTCAGAGTGTCCTGCGGCTCTGGTAACAATGCTGATATCAGTAAGAGGTTTAGGTTCTGCAACGACAAACAAAATACAATTATTTAACGGACCAAAAAACTGTATACTTAAAAAAAAATAAAAATAAAAAAACAACTCAGATGGAAGAATAAACACACCTGAATCCATAGTGATTGACTTTGGCAGCTTTACGGGGTAAAAAACATATGGGAAGATGGCTCCTGGCAGCTGATTCTGGAGCTGCAGAAATAAAATGATGCATTGAAAAAAACTGATTTTACAAACAAACAAACAAACAAACTAACAAACAAACTAACAAACTAACTAACTAACTAACTAACTAACTAACTAACTAACTAACTAAC